CGTGATGGCCGCCTTCTTGGTCATGGTCTGGTACATCCCGATGAAGGCCACGTTGTTGTCCAGGTCGTAGACAGGGCACTGTGGGGCAGAGGGGCCGTCAGCCCCCCTGGGCACCACGGCTCAGCCAGAGAGGAGAGCCAGTGCCCAGACCTACCAGGATGTCCTGGATGGAGATGACGGAGCAGGGGAAGGCCATGGCTGAGGTCACCTTCACGATCACCGAGTCCACTTCCTCGGGGAACTCGTACTTGAAGTACTGAGGGGACAAAGGGCCCGTTGGTGCCACGGTGGCCACGCTCCCCTATGGGTGCAGACCCCTCCCGTGCCATGCTGTGCTGGCTGCCTCACCTGCGGCTGGGCAGCCGTGGCATTGAAGCTGAACCTTTCATTGGTCCTGCAGAGAGCACGGGAGAGGTGATGGGTGGTGAGGGGGCCCACAGCCCCCGCAGCCCCCACAGGCAGCAGGCAGGGAAGGGGACAGGGACACAGGGCTCCCCTCACCGCAGCACAAAGTTCTCCACGCGGGTGACCCGCAGCTGGTAGGAGGTGTTGAGGGAAAGAGTGGACACATCCACATAGAAGTGCTGGGTCTCCACCTCAGCCTTGGTCTGCGGCTGGCAGAGCGTGCGGCTCACCTCCTGGTACGCGTATTTCCGCTGGTACCTGGGCAGGGAGAGCCCAGGTGTGTGCCCAGGTGTGTACCCCTCCCAGGGACCCTGTGTGGGGCATCCCAGCCTGGGGAACTTCTAAATGGGGCATCCCAGCCTGGGGAACTCCTGAATGGGGCATCCCAGACTGGGCAACTTCTGCATGCGGAGTCCCTGCCCGCCCCCTGGTACTCACAGGCCCCGGAGGATGAGCGGCACCTGGAAGGAGACCACCGCCTCCTTCTGCCTCACCACGAAGAGGACGGGCTGGTCCTTCTGGTCCGAGAGGACATTGACGGACACCCGCACGCCCTCGGTCTGCAGGGACAGGGGCAGCCGAGGCGTTGGCCGGGCAGGTCGGGCTGCGGCGGCTCGGAGCGAGGGCTGGACTTTGCTCGGCCGCCGTGGCAGGGCCGCCGTGCCCGGCGCAGCCCGCAGCCGGCCCGGGCACGCTCAGCCCGCGGGGGACGCGACCACCCCGGCTCACCCTGTTCCTGCGGACGCTGTGGTTGAAGGCGTAGATGTTGAGCAGGTTGGCGTGCACCCAGTCGCTGTAGGTGGTGTTGAACTGCGCTTCCTTCTCGTGCACCTCGCGGTCCCCGTGGAGCAGGGGCTGGGGCCGGACGGGCGGCGGGGGCAGCAGCGCCCCGGCCAGCAGCGCCCAGGCCAGCACGGCCGCCGCGGCGCCCGACATCCCGCCAGCATCCCCGGCCAAGGTCCGCGGGGCGGGACGGCACGGACGGCACGGAAGGGACGGGTCGGGACGGGGCGGACGGACGGACGGACGGGGCGCTCAGCCGGGGCGCGCCCGGGCGCGCTGCGCCATGGCCGGGCCGGAGCGGTGGCGGGCGCGGTGCGGGGCTGTGCCGGGGCACGGAGCCGCTCCGGGGCCGGTCCCGGTGCCGGTCCCCTCTCCCCTTCCCGTTCCGCACCGCGGTAAACACGGACCGGCGGTGACGTCAGCCCCGGCGCACGCCGAGCGCCCGGCCGGGGAAGTGACGCGGCGGGCGGGGCGGGGGGACCGGCCCGAGCTGGGGGGACCGGCCCGAGCTCGGGGGACCGGGCCGAACCGGGGGAGCGAGCCGAGCTAGGGGGACTGGCCCGAACCGGGGAAACGGCCCGAGCATGGGAGGACCGATCCGAACCGGGGGAACCGGCCTGAGCTCGAGGGACCGGCCCGAGCTTTGGGGACTGGCCCGAGCTGGGGGGACCGGGCCGAACCCGGGGGACCGGCCTGAACCCGGGGGGACCGTCCCGAGCCCGGGAGACCGACCTGAGCCCGAGGGGACCGGCCCGGCCGGGAACCCCCGTCCCGGAGCACCGAGCTCCGTGCGCGACCCCACCGGGGAATCCCGGCTCCATAGGGAACCACACAGGGGATGCCCTGTCCTACAGGGCAGCCCCTGTCCCATATAAAACCCCATAAGGGAGCCCTGCTCCACATGGGACCACACAGGGGCAGCCCTGCTGTATAGGGGAGCCCCATGGCCATACAGGATCCCGGCTCCAAAGGGGAGCCCCTGCTCCATATGGGATCCTGTGGAACCCCACAGAAAAAGCCCTGTGTGTAGGGCACATCCTGCCCCATATAGAATGCTATAGGGCAGCCTTGTCCTGTATAGCCCCTGCTCCATAGAGACCCCATATGGAGCCCCTGCCCCAACAGGGAAGCCCAGCTGCCATGCAGCACCCCAAACACCCACCCAAACGCCTTACCCGGCCTCCCTGCCCCTAAACTCCATGAGGACATGGAAGAATCCTGTCAGAGAAGGGCTGGGTCTGCCCCATCCCTTTCTCCTGCTGCTCTCTGGATTCCTACCAGGGTTCCTGCAGCCTCTCCCGTTTGTTGCACCCTTCACCACCAGAGATGGAATAATTCAAAGTAACTTGGGAGTTTTCCCATGCTTGGGGGAAGCAGGAGTGATGCCACACTGCATTTTTGGTGAGTCTCCCAAAACACCCCCCAATTCCAGCTGTTGCTGAGCCTCCTGCTTCCAGGCCTCTCTCCAACAGCTCTGTGACCTTTCTATCCCATTTTATTTGCCTGCAGCTGGGGGTTTTGATTTAAAATCCCCCTCAGAAGGGGCTCAGCCCTGTGTCACCTCACTCAGAGCCACTTCCTGGGCTGGCTCTGACATCCAGGACCGCTGCCAGCTTCCTGCTCTGCTCCAGGGGACAAACGCCACGAGACAAGGCTCTGCTGCTATTGTGCACTTTATTTCTCCGGGCCCTCCTGTCCCTGAGGATCCCACAGCTCGGCCAGTCTGCCCATGGTCTCCAGGTGCAGGTGGTGGCGCTGGCGGCAGATGGGACAACCTCAGGGACAGACATGCGGGAAGAGAAGCAGAATTCCAGCCGACTCCTCGGCCCTGGTGGAACTCGAGTCGCCTCTTGCAGGATGGCTGTGAGCAGGACTGTGTGGGGATGTGCATTCCCTGTTTGTTCCAGGGCCGTTTGAGATCAATCTCTCAGGAATCCAACACAGGCCGATGTCCTGTCGAGGGCCAAAATAAACCAGTCCCCTTCACCTGCAGCACCGTGCTCGCAGGTGTGGGTGCAGCACCCAGATCTGCACGGGGAAAGGAGGAAAAACAGACAAAACCAGCCCCAAAAACAGCAGGAATTAAACGAGGAGCAAGGATCTGGCTGAGCACAACTCCCAGAGGGAGCTTTGGCAGCGCCTGCCCGGCCCCGTGGAGAGCTCCAGGAGTGACCAGGACAGGGCAGGAGACGGCTGGGCACACACACACAGGCTGCGACACGGTGGGTGAAACATTGACATTTATATTGAAATATGCACTAACAGTGACTTCTACCAGCCGATGCATTTTTGCCAAAGCAGAATCACAAAGGTTGTGTCCCGGGGAAGGCTGGGGGCAGCGGGTGGGCAGCGAGGGGAGGTATGGGGGCCTCCCTGCTCCTGCCTCACCCTCCCCCAGCACCTCACAAGACTCTGTCATTTCACATCTTTTGTTTGTTTTCCTCTCTGCTGCATAAACACAAAACTGGACACGCTCACTCAGAGGAGGCCACAACTCCAGCCCAGCCCCGTCCCGAGGGACATCCAGAGCTGGAGCTGAATTTTTCTCACAGGAGGCACTCGGATTTCAGCACGGGGTGAGCAGAGGCAGAGCCCCTCTTGCCCACCACACCTCTCAGGTGAGCAGGGCAGTTTCCTGCCAGGCAGCAACAAGCAGAGCCGAGAGCACTGAACCAGCACAGAGCACGGCACCTCAGCAAGCCAAGCCTAAGCAGAGCCAGCAGAGCCTCCCTGGTGAGGCCAGAGCCTGCCAAATTGCCCGGGCCACTCGGCACCCTGCCCACGGGGCTGGCTCACAGCGAGCACAGGGTGCTGAGCAGGCAGAGCTTTACTGCAGAGTACATTCCTGGTTAGCATCTCTTCAGCCAAACGCAGCAGCAGCAGCAGGGAGGGAAGGGAGCAGGGATGCAGAGATTAAACTAGCACACGGCCTTGTCTCACAAGCCTGGAGATGGAAAACTCTCAGGGAACAAGAATGGGTTTTATCCCAGCTCCCTGAGGGGGCTGGGGATGGGATAAACCCTTCCCCAGAACTCTCCACTGCACTGTACTTTGAACCTTTGATTTTCCACTTGCCCTCCCCAATATTTCCAACCAAAGCTTATGGGAAGCACGAGCAGTGCTCTCTCAAAGCCTGCCCTGCAAGGCTGTGGGGCTCCAGGGAGCAGCACCCTGGTCTGATCATGGGGGTAGGATGTGATCCCTCCTCTCCCATGGCACTCTGCAGCTCCCTGTGTCTGATCCTGGCCAGGGGAATGCTTCACCTTTCCTTCATCTGTGTGTAGATCACATATACTGGAAACAAAACACACACTATGCATGCAATCCAGGCAGGAATCCTGCTATGATCAAACCTACAGGAGGAGGGGGATGAGGTGGGACGTTAGGGGATTCCTCAACGCTAGGTCAGAGTTACACACCAGCCCTTGGCCACAGCAAAGGGCAGACAGACTATGTACAGTACCTGTGGGCTTCAGCAAAGCCACCTGACACCTGAACCCTCCCTTGGAGCACGGAGTGAAGCTCTCTGTTCCGCCCAGGATTACCTGCCTGGCATCCCACGGGAAGCACAAACCCAGCGTGGCACCACTGAGCTCCAGCTCCAGCAGGTAAGGCAGGGAGGAACAGATTTGGTTTAAAATAGGTTATTTGCAAGTTATCAATTCATCTAGGGCTCTGCCTCTCAGCTCCAATCCGCTTCTTTCTGGAAGAGAAGCTCTGAGTTTGAAATGAAAAGTTCTTTTGCTACAACCAGCCCTCTGAACTACAAACCAAACCAAAACCCCACTGAGCCACAGCCCTTTAGGAGGGCACCTGCCCCTCTGGCTCCCTTGCTCGAGGTGAGGAGCAGTGTCTGGAGCAGGAGAAGCTACACCTTAACTCCACTTTTACTCTAAGAGGCCATAGTTGCTCAAATAAAATCTTTATACAAGTAAACCAGTAGTGATAAGGAAATATACACCTTGGGATCTGTAAAGCTTCAGAGTGATTTAGGCCTTGCAGCCAGGGGCTCTTCACGTGGGTTTGCTTTAGAAAAAAAAAGGATGTAACAGTCATACTTAATAAAAAAATAGAAAAAACCTGCAAAGAGCCTGGGCATCTCAGAGGGATGTCTGTCAGTTCCAGAGGAGTGAGGAAGTGACTGCCAATTACTGGATCATTAAAATCCTACACTGAGCAACTGCTAAAAGCCAGCAACATCACGGGCAGCAGGAGCAGGGGCCAGCAGCAGCACCCACGTGGGAGCATTCCCAGCAGGGCTGCGTGGGAGGAAGGGAAGGTGCCCCCGCTAGCAGGACTGGGGAAACGAGCACAAGACAAGCACTGGGGAGTGTTACACGAGTTCAGGTAACTGTTTGCTTCTTTGAATTTCTGAATTCCAGTTTCAAGCTGCTTCAGAAAGGAGTGAGAAAGCAACACGTGTGATTTAACCCCCCTCAGTAAAACAAACAAACAACAAACAAACAAACAAACAAAAACCCCAAACAAAAAAACCCCAAACCGCCTAAAAGGTGGAACCGAGTTTGGAAAAATGCATCTGTTCTGGCTTTTGCAAGTGGAATGTGATTCTTGTTCCCAGGCAAATACACAGAGCACAGAGCTGCAGCCAGGAACGGTGAGCCAGGAGCGGGCTGTCGGACAGGCTACAGGGGGTCTAGGACAACCACGGGGCAACAAGACATGAGAGGGGCACAGAGTGACAGTCCTGTTCTCGTTTCAAATGAGGAATGGTTTAAAAGTAAAACTCTTCTTCAGCTAATTTCCTCCTGCAATAAAACCAACCCAGCCGGCCCTCGTATGTACAAGACCAGTTAAACATAGCCTTCCCCCTCAAAACACTAGGTACGGACATCCGGTAACATTCTACAATGGAAAGTGCTTTAAGAAAGAAGGATTCTGTAGTGCCAGTGACAGAACTGATCTGATGGGCTGGATGATGCTCTCCACGCTGACAGCAGCGCCTCAGGCCAGGGCAGCTCGTTTCTCCTCGGGGGTCTCCTCCAGCAGCTGCATGATCAGTTCGTGGAGGGGCTTGCAGACCTTGGCGTAGCCCCCGCCCGTCAGGTGCAGGAAGTCGAACATGTCGTGGTAGGAGATGGTGCCATCCGAGTGCACGAAGCCCACGTCCACGTCCAGCAGCTGCACGTTGGGCAGTTTGGGCAGAGAGGCTTTCAGCAGATGGTTCACCTTGGCGTTCTTCTGCCGCAGCGGGTTTGGCTTCTCTCCACGAGGT